AACAAAGAGCAAGTCAGAGAGTCAGAGCCAAGTAACAAACCACAGCTCTCTCTGATAGACACACTGTCTGTACGTGAATAATAGCTGGCTTATCAATCAATACTCTTGTTTTTATGTTTTAAAGTAAGACTTGTCTTACCTGGAATTCATTCATTCATTGCTCAACATTTTCATTCTTCTCATAGGATGTAAATAAAACTGGGTTTTCTGCATTTGGGTGCATGATCATTGTTCAGGAACAATAGAGAAAGTATGGTGTGACAGTTAGTGCTGTACTGTAAGTCTGACTTTGGAAACAATAGTGTGTTGTCAGGCCCTACCCTCGATGCCTTCCTCTACCCATTTACAGTAAATGCTTTTCACTCAATGAGCATTACATAGCGGCTGCAGTTGGATTCAATTAATTATGGAAGCTTGTCTGAAAAATGTGTTTGTTTAGCCCTGTAAGGCACAAGCATCATTAAAATGTGGTAATTTTGTTGTAAGTAATACCAATATCTGGGAACAATACTGTGTGTAGGCATGTATAATGCATGCATTCATATGTTTATCACTTATTTTTTACCTTGGAGGGGAGGGCTGTTATACACTTATAAGTTAATTTTTATACTTATAAATATCCCTACCTAAGCAGACTTAAAAAAATAAGAAACAGAACTAAGTGTAGGATAATGACTTATTAGTTCGGACAAGCCCTTTAGAACAAAATCCAGTTTATGTAATGGGTGTTGCAGAAGTGCGGAAAGGCCCATCTGTCTCTCTGCCTATTATCCGAAGCCTTAATCGGGACTTACAGCAGGGCAGGCTAAATAAACAGTAAGTAAGTTGTCTTGGGTAGAGGAACGTCAATGCCTGCAACTTGCTCAAGCCTTTGCTCTGAATAGTTCTGTATTGACCCCTCAGGACCCCCCGAGAATTCCCTAATTGAAAATTAATATTGAATCAATGCTGCGGGCCATTTGCATATTGATTATAAACATGCAGGAAGGCACCAAGTATGTCTTGGATCAATAGGGCCCTTCTGCAGCCGGCCGAGTGCACTACATCACATGGCAGCTGCCTGCTCCTGAGGTTAATGACTGCTGCTTGTTAAGGAGCTCTTGTCAGGTAGAATCCAGCCGCAGGGTCTTTCTGCCAAAGCTGGCAGCAGGTGAACTGTTGAGGGTGGAAAAGGAAGTACAGATGGAGCAGATGAAGGGGAAATATGGGATTCTGGCAACCCCTTATGTTTTAAGCGATTAAGTTTATCTCTGCATTAAGTGTGTTAGTGACTTGTAAGCATCATTGTTGGTCTTTATCAAACTGAGTTTATACCCTCTTTTTATACTCTGTTATTTATATTTTGGGCCTTGGCACCCTAGCATTGAACCCTGACCACTCCATAACACAGACCATAAAATACTACAACCATGTGTGTTTGTACTTTATATGTGTGTGTATAAGAGAGGATAAGGAAGCTGATCAAAGATAACGCCAACCATTTCCAGCCCCTGAAGGGAGAGAAAACAATATTAGGTAGATCAAAAAGGCCCTTTTTAATTTGAAATGAAACTTTCACAGCATTACAAGACAAAGGAGAGCAAGAATCCTCTACTTTAAAGCGCTGGTTAAGATTCAACACATACATTCCTCTCCCAAACTCTCCATAATAGTTACCACATGTTGAAGAGATGTGAGAGGTGGAGGCAGGAGAGAAGGGATGGCAGTGGAGACAGTGGAGTGAAAAGGTTACATGCAGATGGAGGGAGAAAGTTCTATCAAACCACTGGAACTGGTAACCTGATGATAGAATCCCACAGAAGCCTGACTGGCTGGTTTAGTGGCAATGTTGAAGCCTGGTTAAACTAATGGGGCTCTCTAAAACTGGATGACTCTGTGAACCCACAGGAGACAGCAGACCTGGTGTGAAGCACATGTGAGAGCAGCTTATCCTCCAGTCTATGAAAGGCAAGGTCTTGAATTAATGCCTCTGTGCAGACTGTGTCCATTCTCCCCTCGCCACCGCCCCCACCCTAATGCACACCCTGCACTGGGAGCTAGGGTCTGGGAGCTGAGAATGGAGTGCCGGGCCCAGAGAACCAGGCTGCATCTGATTGCTTCATTACAGGCCCTTTCATTGACTTGGTTGCACTGAACTGATGAACTGAGGCAGTGGACAAGAGCACATAATAGGAAGAAATGAATTCTTATCACAGCCTTCTCAGGAGGCCACTGGTCCTGGCTGGAGCCAACAGAGGCCATGGCTGAATGGAGAGGAGGGGGCTGTATCTGGGCCCATTCATGAGCCAGTAGCAGGATCTAGACAGAGGACATGATGGAGCTTTAGGATGTTGGATCAGTACACAGGGGAGGAACCATGAATCCACAGAGAGCCATATTATTGTAGGCAGCTTGTTTTAATGATTAGTTTGGTGATTAGTGTTTGCTTTCTCCTGGTAACTGACACCCACGGCAAAACATTTTTTTCAATTGTTTATTCCAGCGGTCCTCCAGAGGCAGACCTCTGCTAGTTAGAGTCCCAGCTTTAGGCCCCATAGCAGCACCCAAACACCAACCACTGAGATGAATAATTAATTTTGTACCTTATTGGGCTCTCACCCCTAACTCGCCAACCTCTGGCTAATGAGTGAAAAGAGTCTTCTGCAGCAAGGACAATAACAGCCCCCATTATAAAAACAACAGCAACAACCACAGCCATGCATACCATAGACACGAGAGATGTGGTATAGCACAGCACCAATTTAGCAACACGCCCGGTCTCCATAGGGCAGGGGTTGTTAATCCCTGACCATGCCTTAAAGAGGCTAGGGACTCCACAACTGACAGACCTGCTCATTTCCATGTCTATATGCACAGTCAGCACTAAATTGTTGAGGAGGCGGGGGGAGAAATCCTACGGTTTACAAATGCTGCAAATGTGATCCTTAGACCATTAACATAACAGTTTCCTGTAAAAAATAAAAGGCACCTTAAATTATGTGATGTTGTGTCATCATAATGTTCCACAAATGTGCATAAATTAAAGGTGTTTTTAGTGGAGTCCGCTGATGGGCCGATCAGGTACCACACCTACCTGCCAGCGCGCTCTCCCCTTGTCCTCCCTGCAGCCATCAAATCTTTCCCCTCCCCTTCTTGCTCATACCTGTTCACTTAGCACAAAATGGATGCTGCAAAGCCATTTAATTGGCCTCCCCTTCGGAATCCAAGGGCATTTGAAATGTCTCTTAAATAATATCTCTTCCCCTACAGAGCTGTTCTTGACAGTGTTTGGGAAGAATGTACTTTGTTGTAAATGGTTGTCTTGTAGCCAGTGGACATCATACAGACTTGGTGCTCATCCTAAAGATATTTTGGCCTCAGTGTTTGCTACTGGCGTGTCGTGGCTTTTCTTCTTTCTCTTCTTTTTTTTTTTTTTAGCATGGGGTAAATGTTACAAGAACAGTAACAGGCATACTAGTCATTTTGGTCATTTTAGAACAGCTGGCCCACGTTTAAGCCACATCATCAGTTCCATTTTTTTTCCCTTGCCTGTCTCTTCCTTTCCCTCTCCTGTGACTGAGCCAAAGATAACTGAGTAGCAGTGTTTGACTGTAATCACTCCAAGTCTCTTTCTCTGGAGAGCAGCACAGTGGGCAGCACAGTTCCACCCCTCTAGGAGCTTTCAGCCCACTTTCCCAGTATTGTAGCATGTTCACAAAGAAAGAAAGAAAAAAGGTGAAGTTTGCTTAAATACATATAATGCACAAGCACATGCCTTTAAACTGTATAGCTTTGTTATTTGGATAGATCTTTCTTTCTAACCGACAGTAATCATACTGTGTTTAGAAAGAGGGGAGATTTGACCCACTCTTAGAGGGTAGGCTCAACTGAACAAGTGTTATTGATGAATAAACTGAAAGAATAGTGAACTCTATAGGCCTGCTCTGGCAAGCATCAGTCTAAGGCATTTTTGAATCTCAGGTAAAAATTGAAAACCTAAAGCAATTTGGTGTACTGATTAGGCTCATATAAATACAGGCTGGGTATATCATTGAGATTAGAAGGATTACTAGTTTAAATGATAGTTGCGTTGGTCCATTGCATCCCATCATCTGGCTCCGAGTCTATTTTGTAATTAAGGCTGTAAGGTGTGTGCATAATCAAATAAGTAAATGATGCTGCCAGAATTATGTGATAATAAATTAATACATTGCAAGAAGTGAATAAAGGAGCAGCTAATTGCATGAGATGAGTCTTTTTCATTAGCCTTTTGAGAGGAAATTTCATTATATGCATCACAAACCATACTGCCATATGAAATCCAGTTTTAAAAGTATGCAAGAGTCATAACACTTGAATAGACATCCAGCTGTGATGTTCTCTAGTTTTGTAGTTTTCATTTAACCTTTCTTCACTCCAAAGAGTGACAAGCTGAAGGAAAAGAGGACAACATTAAGTCTTTTAAGAGACATGCCTCACAACCCAGAGAAAGGTTCACACTTAAAATATTGACATACCTTCTTTTATAATAACACATTGACACATGAAAGGTTTATAAACTAGCAATAAAGGTGATCTGTGCTACTATTTGAGCTCACAAACAAATGTGAAGAATCTTTTTCATACTTACAATACACCTTGCAGTATTGATAATCAGTTTTATTCGCTTTCTCTATACCTATTGTTGCGAGCAAAACATAAACTTGGTTAAATGTATCTCCAATAATTGCACTGCAAAGTTGCTTGATTATTTTGTACATAATTACAGTGGAAAACAACCTGCCTATTAAGACTTTAATGGCAGTAATACAGAAAGCAATTACCATTACTTTGCTGCTCACACTGAAAATAAAGATTTCTCTAAATTAAAAGGATCCTCTGACTACTGCTAAGGCTAATTGTGTGGGGTCTTGTACAGACATTTGGTTATACATCATTTGTAAGGGCTAAATGCTGATCAGTTAGGAAGGCCTTTACAAGCTGTGTCCTAAGTGTGTGTTTTTGGGACTGCTCTGCTGCCAGGGAGTCTGATAGCTCTTGAATTATTTATCTATCAGGCTGTTGGACGGTAGTCACGGCGACCTAGGCCTCGTAGTGGTTGTCTGGCGACATCTCTCTCCAACAGTAGCCATCAGCAGACAGGGCTAGGGGTGCTAATGAGCAGGGTGCAATGTGCATGAGACCAGAGTTTTCTAACCCTCCAACCCTTCCTCAGATATAGACGCTCCACACTGAATAAAGACGCACAAAAGATTTACAAAGATCTGAGTGCAGAACTTTTTAATTAGGGAAAAAACGAGGTTAGAAAAAGAAAAAGATTGAAAAAGAAAGATAGAAACAACCACCCGTTTTCCTATTAAGGAGAAATGTCAAGCGCGGTGGTGAAGCAATAGTCTGTGTGCATCCCTTTGTTGTCCTCCCTGACATTGAAGGCTAATTTTTCATGGTTATTTGAACTGGAAAATGAAAGAGAGGTTTGCGATTATTTCCTATAAATGACAACACAATTGCATTACGCTTCAGTACAAACACAGAGAGGATATTGCCTTTTCATATTTCATGTGAAAGTAATGGATGGGCTATGCAAAGAGGAACAGAAAGAAAGACAAATGGTGAAAGAAAGCTCCCTGTGTTTGATTTGTATTAGAAACTGAATGGATAGAGGTAGCAAGAGTTCTTTTTTTTTTTTTTTTGTTCAATAAGTGGTAGCACTCTCATGGATGTTTTAAAGTGCCTGTGCAGTGTAATCATTGGATTTCTTTAGCAATTAGCTATGAGCAACCAGCCGGGGTGGTTGTTAGAATAAAAGTTGCCAAGTGTATCCACTGCATTCTCTACTAGAAAAATATATATCCATAGTACGGTCCCCGTACACACTGTCTCCATGTATATCTGTACAGCTGTATGATATAAAAAAATAAGTAAATAAGATAAAACACCAGTACACCATCCTCCACCTCTCCTCTCAACTATCCTGAAACATTTGAACCTAGCAGGCCATTAAACTTTTGAGAGCAAACACACTTCAATGATAGCCTATATTTTATATTTTAAATAAAATTGATTAGCAAAATTTGTATTCATAACCATGTCAGATTCTGTTTTATCTGGGCTTACGCTTTCATAAACAAACAGCCGGTCAGGCTCTGGGCTGTAGATGGAGACAGGGAGGCTGGATGACCATTGAGTAGGATGGCGAACCAGCCCACCCTGGAGGGGCATGCTGAGAAATGTGTTTGTGTACTTTAAGTTTACAAAGATGGAAGGACCGGCAGGAAAGCCTCTGCTGGCAGGACTCATGTAAATAGGACCCATGTGGGAGCTGTGAGCCGGACTCCTAACACGCGCCGAAGTAGGCACTACATACATCCAACCATGGCAACATTGATTTTCTGAGCTAATACCTCCACAGAACAGTCCACAGGCAGATGGATGCACTACAAAGATATGCAAATGGTGCATTCGATAAATCGACAGGCAGAGATCTTTTTCAGACAGTCCACTGTACTGGTCTGCAGTGCCTACAAGGAGAGATAAACAGATAAGTACCTGTTAATGGACACACACATACACAAGTGTGCACACTCGCAGACAAACATACAAGCACCTGCCTGTTACCTGAAAAAACTTAAATCGATAACAGAATTTCATGTTTAGCAGAACCGCTTCAGAAAAAGCACATCAAATAAAAGCTGGGACTATCCAGTTTTAGTTTTTAATATGAACGTGCTATTTTTTAATGTGGCATACTGTATTTTTAATTTTCAAGGTTTTCTTCAAGAAAGCTTTTTGCACTATATCTTGTGTATAATAACAAAACAAACTGTGGGTATAGTCATATTCAGTGCGCTTATTAGTCAGATATGAAACAAAAGCTGCTGGGTGTATGTCATATATAATAGATGTGGGCTGTCTTGTTAAGCCCAGCAGGCTGTATGTGGCTGTGTCTCTGTGGAGAATGGCTCTGAAGCTCGCTGTACCTGGTAATTAAAGAGAGTTTGTGGCAAAAGCCAAACATCAGGAGAGATGAGCTATGAACAAAAGAGCTGTGACAGTTTCAGGTTATGTGATTTTTGTGTCCCTTTTTTGCCAAATGAAAAATCAATACATTTTCCGGGTTATACATATTCAGAGTGTCCACCATGCTTCCGCCCTGATGGAGAGAGGGGCGGGGGACTGTGGGCTAGAGTGGGGGAGTTGCCCGTTCGTCTGTCATAACTGTACCATCGCATTTTCCAACCCACTGGTGAATATTTCATAGTTGATGTGATTGCCCTTCATGACAGCGGTGATGCTTTTTTTTTTTTTTTCTTCTTTTTTTCAGACACCCCTTCAGCCACCCCCACACTCCGTCAACCCACCCCAATTCTGTTTGGTCCCTTTGAAATAGGTGAAGGCATTGTAGTGTGAGCTAGAGGAAAAAGAAAAAGATGCATTAATAAAAGGAGGTTGATTTAAGAGGAGGCAGCAGTAGAAGACGACAAGCATAAATGCATGGTGGGGGTTGGCAGAGAGGCAGAGTGACTCTTTGTGCAGGACAATGTCCCTCAGGCAGAGTAGATGGAAGAGCACTGTCCAGTGATGTTTTTGCCCCCTATCCAGGCTTTTTTAGCCCACCATCCTAGCAGGGAAAAGTACAGCCTGCATCTTCCATTGTGGACATAATATGTGTTAGTGAGTGGCCATCCTCTTGGACATTCAAGGAAGTCACGGTGTGTGTGTGTGTGTGTGTGTGTGTGTGTGTGTGTGTGTGTGTGTGTGTGTGTGCGTGCGTGCGTGCGTGTGTGTGTTTGTCAGCTGGGGCAGAAGAGTGAGCAGTCCCTGAATGCTCACTCCCTGTGTAGCCACATTAACCTAGATCCTCTTCCCCTTCATCATTCAAGTAAAACACAAAGAGAAAAGAACTAGAGCGGCACTTTATCCACTTTATTTGTAATGTATCTAAACATGCCATTATCACAAGAAGTATTTCTAATTAGTATAATTTCCCATGAGATAACACTTTAGGGAAATATTTAATACATTACATGGTGCTCAATAACAGTTCCTAACTTGCTTAGAGCACAAAAAAAGCAGTCAAATTAACCACATTTAGTCTGTTTAAATGTTTTTTTTCTGTTTAAAAAAAAATGCTACTTCTACTACTACAGTGCACACGTGTGACTCTTACTGACCTGAATGCACTAAGCGTCCTTTAAAATGGCCAGTGACTTTGAAAGGCAAGGGGGATCAAATTAAGTGTTGTGTGGAACACCTATGTGGCTGGTTTGATGAGCAGGCACCACCGGGAAAATAGTGGAGTGGTGGAGGAGGGGTTGCTGCGATGTTGTTCTAAGGCAGCCAGTGTGAGCTATCACTGCTGTTTGTGATTAACTTGCCGTTTAAAGTTTTTTTAGTTATTAGCTGCCCCTAACCCCATACCCCTCCTTCATCTCCCGCACCTCCTCCTCTGCTAACCCCCCTCCAATCCATTCCCCTCCTGCCCTCAGCCCCATGGAGACACAAAGTATTCATTCACATTTAGATCCTGAGGTCACAGCAGGGCCAGCAGGGAGAGGCCAGCGAATCCCCCCATAGACAGGTCAGGAATCTAACACGTAACTTCGACCAGCAGCGCTGAGGTAGCTTGCTCTTCTTTCCTTTGAAAATGTGAAAGTGTGTGGGAGAGAGGGAGTGAGAGAGGGAGTGAGAGCACGAGTGAGAAAAAGAAGAGTACAGAGACAGATATACTTTCATTTTGTGTGTGTGTGTGTGTGTGTGTGTGTGTGTGTGTGTGTGTGTGTGTGTGTGTGTGTGTGTGTGTGTGTGTGTGTGGCAGTGTTTCTAGTGTGTTTTCTGACATTTTACTACATTGATTCTGATGTGTAATTATGTGTATTTTACTACACTTTCATTCATTTTAAATATTACTGTTTTCATGTTTTGATTGTATCTCATATTTAAAAGAATCCACATAAATGACTTCAACTGCAATACGGTCAATAACATACATGATTTGCATTTAAAAAGCATTTTTTTGCACAGCATTACATGTCCACATTTTAACTCAGTTTTATGTTTTGTAGTGCAGTGGCTAGTATGATTACTGATAATACCATGTTGTGGTTTATTGGCTGTTCATAAGCAAAAGCCCCTCTTGTCTCTGGCTAGATTGTGGGCATGTTTTGCCCTGTTGTGGTTTTATGAGAGGTAGCTTTTAAGGAGGGAGTGTGTGTGTGTGTGTGTGTGTGTGTGTGTGTGTGTGTGTGTGTGTGTGTGTGTGTGTGTGTGTGTGTGTGTGTGTGTGTGTGTCGGAGGGGGGTTATGAGGGGTGGGAGTGTTTTCCTGTGTGTTGTGTTTTAAAAGGGGGGTCTTGCGTATGGAGCGCAGAGGTGCTGATATGAGGAGCGGACAATGCATGAAAGCCCTCAGCATGGGTCCTGTGTCTCATTGTCCCATGGTACCCTCCTGTCACTTTCATTTTGCACCCTCTAGTCCAGAGTCAGGCCAACTTTGATATAAGGAAGGGGTGCAAGGGGTGATGGGGGGAGTAAGAGGGGGATTTTTAAAAGAAAAAGTAGGGGAGAAAGATAGAGTCTGTGAAGTGTGAAATAAGATTGCTTTTTATCCGACAGTGCAGCTTTAAAGAAAAGGAAGCTGTCCGGCCCTGGATAAAGCGGGGGGAAGCGCACCTCTCTGATTTACAGTGCGATCCTGTGACACCTGGTTAAAATGATAACAACAGCCTCAATAATCATAATAAGAGTAATGAGAGCTTAGACACACAGCTCCACACAAGAGCCCAGAGAGAAGCAGAGCTCAATCCTGGCTCCCAGTACTTGAGAGCCGGGGAGAGGGAGAAGCTCAGCTCAGCCCCCGCGCTGGTTCTTCAGCACTTACGAAAGCCAAGAGAGATAGACAAGACAGTGTTGTTGACTGAGATACTGTATATGCAACAAAAAGCTGACTGTCATGACAGTTTGAGGAACACTGGAGCCATTCTCAGGTAGGACTAGAATTCTGTACTTAAAGAAAGGCAGTTATCATGATAGCAGTGTATTCTGCTGAGGCCGAGGATGGAGGAGGAGCCTGACCTAGTGAAAGATATCTAGAGTGACTATTATTACTTGCTGCTGCTCTTCTCTACAGTCTGGGAAGGAATACTGGAAAGTGCAGTGGTTACCATCAATTATTTATTAGGCCGTTTGTGCTTGTCAGTCTGATTAGCATTAGTGTAATCACTGCTCTTCAGGGGAAAGGATGACTGCTCTCTCTCATCTGAAGGTAATCTTGCCATTTTCAGTGTCTCATCTTCACCGGACGCCTCTTGCATAGCATCTGCTTTTGTCATCTCCACATATTTCTTTCCTTTTCCCCTTCCCCGCGTGTTTCTGTCTGTTGCTGCTCAGCCCCTTCCCCCCGCACCTCATTAATGTGTGTGAGCAAGTTGCTCTCTCCCAGCTTGTATAGAGTGACACCTATGGGCCTGATTAAGCCTCTGCACTCACTGGTAAAACAGAAGAGGGGAAGACTGCTAAGCGCAGATATGGTGTGTGAGTGTGTGCGTGTCTGTCTGTCTGCGAGATGCTGGAAAAGAGAGCCCATGGACTGTCCCCACTGAGTGACTGGCAGAGCAATGCTGATATTTATATGCTCAGAACAAATGAGTGTAATCTCTGTGTCGGCAATGGGCTTATTCAGCTTGCATGATTAGATTAATGGAACTGTTTCATATCATTGTATTAGGATGGTTAATGAAGACAATTAATTAGAAGACAACCTTCAGGCTATTGTCCTTTACATCTTTCAGATTTGGGTTAGAAATGGCCTGCTGCCATAGCTTTGAGTGTTTCTCCTCATCTAGTTTCAGAGTTAATCTATGGGTACAGTTTTAGTGTCTCTTCCATTTGCATCCTACTCTTAGGCCACTCATGACCTTTCATTAATTATGGTCGGCCTGGGTTTAATCATTCTGTAATACCATTGGAGATGAGAAGAGGAATAGGCAAAGCTATTTGCCACTTAAAGATGTAACGCTGCTCCTGGAATTAAATGTCTGCATTTCTGCATAAATTATGGATGGGGCTCTGTGTTGTGTGTGCTAAAAGTGTCATATACGTTGATTAAACATCTAAATAAAGAAGTATTGAAAACAGGATGAAGAAAAAATATCTGTACACATGTGAGCATGTATAGTATGTGTGCAGGAAGTTGGGGGTGGGTACAAGGAAGCTGAATAGCATTAGAATGTTGGCTACTGCCTATCACAGTAATGTTTAAGCACAAAGCAAAAGTGTGTATTAATGTGTGGGTGGGGAATTAGTCTCACTACAAGTGTCACTTAGCTAAGAAATGACACCTTGCCCCATTTTTAAAGGTGAAAAAATTTACCTGGGGATTATTTTGTAATCTGAGCACCTATGCAGCTGTATAGTATCCTAATTCTGGCAGAGTTGTGGAGATTTATGCAGGCAGGAGTTAAATGGGATTTTGGGACTCGGCAGGAGATCTTTGGTTTTCTGGGAATGTTTAAGATCCGCCTCACCAGCACGGGATGGGCCGCACTGGATGGAATTCATGGGTTGCCTTGGAAACATAATAGAAACATGGTTAAAAATAAAAGAATAAAATGTATTCATGTGTGTGGGATCCAGGGAACACTTAAATAGGCTTTTTACTAGGAACCAGCCATCCCTTTTAAATATCTTTATTTAAACACGGGATCATTGGATCACAGAAGCAGCTTTTAGCATGTGTAGCAACACAATCCATACACCGATCACTCTGCTCAGACAGCTGTTTCCTACAGCATTTGTATCAGCAAGCAGGAAATGGAAGATATTGCTCCTGTCCTGCCAGTAATACAAAGGTGTTTTCCACTGACTTTGATTTTTTTTAAACTGAATAACCCCATATGTATAAGCATGCAGTTGTGTCTACAATATTACAGTTGTTGTTACATTAATGAATACATTCTACGAAATTACTAGCTATAGTGTGTATTCAGTCACCTTTAACAAGCAAGAAAGTTTTATATGCGCCTTAAAATAGCAAAATATGTTGTAGATGCTCTTAAATATCTAACCTTTTTTTTAGCCTACTGAGGAAAAGACTTTTACATACACAGCAGAGAATAAAATGTCAAATGAAAAACACAATAATTTCTTTAATGTATTTTTCACTCTAAATGTGACTAATTTGCATAAGGCATCTCTATTTACCATTTCAGGAGAAAAGAATTTGATGTTTTTCAATATTCTATCTATGAGTACGACCTGTCATCCGGAAAGGGGCTGTGAGAATAGACACGTGGTTCAGAGATGTGTATCTGTGATACCAAAGTTTGAGAACACGATGTCAACTCTATATACAGTGTATGCAATGTTTCATAACTGACAGGATAAACAGCGAGTGTTGGGGATAATGTAACATCATAAAAGTGGTTTTGGCTGTGGGTAGTCATGTGGTGAGCTAAGATTGGATGTGTGATGACTGCAGGGCTGAATACTTGAACAGGATATTTCAGTGGCTGTTGTAGCATTGTCAATATATCAATAGCTCATAGAGTAGAGACCCGAGCATGAAAGCATTTTCAAAAGAGCATTTAAGTACATTTGCTGAGAATTAGCTGACTTGTGTAATAACTGATAGGGCCTATTGACTGCGGCCTAGTTTACTGTTGTCAAATCAATGCTATTGCATGCAAGTCCCACTACTTTTAAACAAACTTAACAGGCAAAGGGGATGTTCAGGGGGCACTGGAGGGAAATAAACAAGATTGATGCCCTTTTTATTATCTGTTTTTGCTATCTTTTCCTCTGTGTGTTACTTACAAATGGCGTTATCGGATATCCATTGTTTGGACTTCGATGCTCCTAAATGGCCTGATATATCGAGCTGAGGCTTTTAGGTGGTTACAGGGGATTTCTTCCTTTGACTTGGCATAAAAATAAAATGAATTGTGGCTCTGAAAGTTTTAAATATTTATGATTTTTTTTTTGCAATAGTAGGATAGAATAAGTGACATGATGGTTTGTATTGGTAAGTAACCTAGCAGATTGCAGCAGGGGACAGTAATGTATGAGAGTGTGTTTGTGTGTGTGAGAAAGAGAATGGGGGCTTGTCTTGTGGTCTTTCTCTTGAAGGATACTGCTCACACAATTATTTTTCCATCTGCCCGTTTCAGACCACATGTGTGCTTTTTCCGCAGTTTTATGTCGACATTAAACAGAGGAAACCATATCTGTGTCATGGTCTTGAATACATGGAGAAATTACCTAAATGACCTCTTAATACAAAATAGTAATAATAATAATAATAATAATAATACATGTTTGCCTTTCTATTTCCCCAGTAATTTAACTCAACACTGATTTTATATCATTCTTGTCAAAATAAATATCACAGTGGTGATCAGACAGCACAGAGCAGAAAGCAGATTCTGCCCTCTTTGTCTGCTAGCCTTTCAACTGTGTGTCAGCATATGTAATTGTTGCAAGCTCCTATAGAAAAAAACGCTGCCGTCCCTTTAAGTGCTTCCACCAATTCTGATGGCGTGGTAATTTACATATCCCGTCCTCCCTCCCCCTTCAGGAGAGCTGAGTGAGGATGTGGAGGCTGCTAGTGAGACCACCACAGACCAGGAGGACCAAACCAAAGACAGAGAAAGTGGGGGGGAGAAGGAGCTCACCAAAGGGACAGGTAAGGCCAATATTTACACCACACACGTAGGGAATACTATTCACAGAGAACACGTGGCCCTGCACCTGAATGGTGCTGAACAACAGGCCTTTTGTCTAATTAAGTTAAACATATTTTAACAAAATATTGAGAACCTTTTTGAAGCATTAAACACTCTCTCTCAAAACTCCCTAAATCCACTTCTCGTTTTCAAATGCTGCACTTTCATACTGTGGGTTTCCAGGCATTAAATCCCATCAGGTACAGTTTGGATAAACTGTCAATTTAGGTAATATGTTCAGGGGACATGTGACCCATGTTTTGTCTTTGCTCAATAGGTGATGTGAAGAGAGGGGCCTGTATGTGTAATTCCAGCTGAGCCATGTGTGTGCACACATGTTTTAGCACTGCCCTCTTCTTAACTTTGCTGAACACACAACCTAACCTGCGTTTCATGTTATCAGATCAGTATGGTTTTATCTGTGGGTCTTTTATTGACAGGTGTAGGGTGGTGACTCCTAAACTGGGGGTTGGGCTTAATGTGAGGGGAGGAGCTTTAGGCCTAAACGATCTCTGGTCATGACAAGTCTGCATTTCCTAAAAGAGTCTTTTCAGCATTTATGGAAGCATTTTTGGCTTCTAATCTTACAAATGTTTGAGTTTGAATGTGTGGATTTTCTTTTTATGTTTGTTGGGTCAATTATGACAATCACTACACTACATGGTGAAAACTGAACATCATAGGTTTCAGTTTTGGTTTGATTGAGGTCTGTCTGGAAGGCCCTATGTTGTTTAAACAGACATACTGTTTTCAGTGAACGATTAAGGAGCACACAATCAGTTGAAGTTCTTGCAGCAGTTGTGTTTCTGTTGCTGATGCTACTGTAGCTAGACGCAAGAACAGTTTTTGTAGTGGTATTAAATGTAAAAGCAGTGTGTGCTAATTTAATAACACTGATACCGAGCCAGTGGTAAAAGGAGCTTCTCCATTGATTGTCAGACGTGTGAAAGATGTTGACACTTGCAGTACTATTATAACGGACACTGTATGACCACCTTTCAAACTGCTACCTAGCTTTATATCTTCAGTATGACTGAAACTTGGTCTTAAACAAGTTTACTCAGACACAAGTTTAAAGTCTAAAACTTACCATTTTATCCTACATACTGTACTGTGTATGTGCATCACTGCATCTAATTATATAGAAAGCTGTTGTTTACTGATTGTATTCAGATTTCTGAAACGTCAGTGTAAATGAAATATAGTTTCATTTCTCCTTTTTATGCACAATTTACTTTCCACGCCTGTGTTAGAAAAACAATGTTGGCAGTTAAGACATCTCTTATTCAATAGAAGAGATTTCTGATAATGATGACACTGAACAGTAACAGGCCTGGATAGATGCTTCTCACTTGTCTAACTTCTTGTGTTACGGCAGGATGTTTTGATTTACACTAGTCAGGTTAAAAGCTGGAAAACAATTCAGACCTTTTGCATACCTAAGTTTTTTTATAAAGTGTAGCAAAAAAAACTTCATCACAGTGTTTGAAGCCCAGCCTTTGTAAAATGTCTTTGATATTCGAACTTCTATTTTAAATGAGGCTGAGTTGTTTGTGCTCTTTGAAAGGGCGACACTCTTCTTTGATGGAGGAAATAATGATATGCATGCCTGACTGAATATGGCTAAAAGTATGTTTTAGCACATCAAAATAAAGCACTTTAAAAAGCATTAAAATGAGCTGGACGATTAATAATTCACTCATACCTGTGGTGCACAGGAAGACGACTCCTCGCATTAGGATTCCTCCTTTTTGAAAGGCATGCAATTTGATACAAGCATATTCAGTTCCTTTCCTCCCCTCTGTCAGTCGCTAATCACCAAATAAGTGTGTTTCTGTGTTTTCACAAAGGAAATATGTGCTGGCATATGAAAAATTCACAGCTTCCCAGCAGCTTATTAGAAACGCTTAGTTAAAAATAGCATATGCATTAGGGAACTGAGGTCTGAGGTTCTGTTTGATGTCAGTGAAAAGGTGGGTGGGTAGGTTGGGGTGGAGGGTTCAAGGCTGTGTTGTCAGCGAAAGGTAGACAGCTGTAGTTTAATGGAAGGGTCCCTTTTTGTACTTCAAACTTTTTGTGATTGATGAATACAACGCCCATTCAAAGCAAGAGCAGAAAACCTGTTTTGTAAGGAAAAAAGCAAGGAAGACCTCACAATGCATTTGGTAAACATAGGAGCATTTGTATGGGCTGGTGATTGTCTGAAGATGTTTGTACAGTAGTGACACAGATGGTGTGTATGTTGAAATATGGCGTATAAGCATCTTGGCCAACCTGTTATTTATCTGAAAGGTGTTCAGTCTCCTACTGTCTGAGGCTGAGCTGTTTCTAAGGTCCATCATTAGAACTACTGAAGTATTTCTTCTCATCGTTGTCATGTAGCTGTTGGAACAGAGCACAACATTGTTCCTTTACAAATGACAGTCACTGTCAGACAGACAGCATTAGCGAACACAGAAAAAAGGCTTCCTCCTTTTTAAAGCCACTGTCAATCTTATTTTCTCTTTCTTGTTCCACAGCTCCTCAGTATTCATTAAAATCATTTAGAGGTACATCAGAAGCCTTTGTAAAATGCATATGTATTCAGCATGTCATCTCTTGAAAGATGCCTTCATTATTCTGTTGTTTCATTTTTATTTATCTCAAAGATGATACATATATGTACATGTACAGGCATTCAGACATATGTAAATGTCATATACTCCCAACACTGCAGGTAATATGTGGTGGAACTTTTTGTCATTTTACAGTATATTATCGTATGTACATATCCTGACAGAAGAAATACAAATTAACTGTAAAAGTAATTATAAGTGGAATACCAAAATCTTAATGAATTTCAACAATGATGTTCATATTGGTGGTAGCTGCAACTTAATCATCCTGCACAATTAGTAATTCAAAGGGTCATTTTTAATGCTAGTTATAAAATATGTATACATGGGTGGCCATGACCCTGCTTCCTCTCTCCTCACACCTTCTTCAACAAGCTAAAGCAGCACTAGCAGAAGGGAAGAGCTTCTGCATGGGAACGGGATCCTTACCTCCATTAAAGCAGGTGGTGTATTTATGCAGCAGCTGAATGTATGGGGATGCAGCAAGGAGAAAGGCAGGGTGGCGACTGTAGGGGAGATAGGAAGGTGAAGAGAGCAGAAAGAGAAGGAAGGAGGGGAATTGTTAATGCACCTGCAGACTTGGACATAATATGATTTGACATATTTAACATAAATGTATGGGAGAGGTTGTATTGTATCTTGGGGGGCGCTATGTGGGGAGATGGGGAAGAAGGAGAGAGAAATAGTCTCTCCATTCTGGGGCTGGGAAGATGGTAGTCCTCTGAAATTGAGCTTGATAAATAATTCTTTTCATACCTCTTTCCTTACATTCAATTTATGGGAGCTGGAGCAAGGGGGGTAAAAAATATTTTTGGAGCCTGGGTCATCCATATTCTGAGACCAGTAAAACCCATGGAGATCAGACAGAACCTAGGTAGACAAACACACTTACTACAAACACAGGGACTATATAAAATTAATTTATATATATTCAGAATGTGAATGATTCCACCATTTGACAATATATATATTGTAATATATAATATAATAATATAATTATTTAAACAGTTTTTAATATTTTATATTTTGAATATTTGCTTTTGTTATTTGCTTATTTCCTTGGTTACTCCTTGTCATTTAGCAAGGTTGTATTTAACAGGTGAATTAAATTCTGAATCTGTGTCTTTTTGGTGATATTTTTTCTGCTATCTGTGACCAAACAATGCAAGATATGTAAAGCAAGTCAGAAAAGCAAGAATGAGACTAGAGTTTGATAAGACCAAAATATTTGTATAACTACGGTATGTTTTGGGGAGATTGGGAATCATTTTATGTCATTACAAAGTAAATTATTGTGTTTTTTAGATGCCATCATCTCAGACATGTCACACGTCTTTCTTTATTCACTGCTGGGATAACATATTTGGTGCAAACAGCACATGTTTGTATGCAGTGAATCATTTTGTAGCATCACTTGCCCTGCTGGACTTGTCTGTGTTAGTTTGGGCTTAAATGTTGGTATTGTTAAGGTACAAGTGTGTAGGAGTATTTTGACATAGTTTTGTGGAGCACCAATTAAAGGTGACGTGCAAGTTCCAATTTAGCATTCGATTAACTGCTATGCAATGTTTTTAGACTGCCTGTGTACAAATAGCACATATTATTGTTTTTTCCTGCTTCATTATGCCCAAAAAACATCACTTTTACCTCTCACATATTGGGCTTGATAAATAAAATCAAAATAGATTACATCTATATTTATAGTGTTGTTTTGATTATTGTGGTGAGGTTTAAAGCATGTACTTTAGATTTGTAAGAACAATTGTAAATTGTTTCTAATGAGATAGTAATTATCATATGTTAACACTAGACATTTCCAAAGAGATGTTTTAACATATTTACTTGACTGCACTGTATCAGATTAGTTTGTACCTATCTCTACAGAAGCCTGTTTTTCCTCTGTTTCTCTTTCTTATGTGGCTCCTGCAGTAGGTTTTCCACAAAGACCAGCTTAAAAAAATGCTCTGGACTATTTTCAGTTAAATGTTGACATTATACCTGAGAAACTGTTTAGATAAAGACTGAGCAGCTGGGTGTGCTTATACAATCCTACGTGTGCGCCTGTGTGTGTGTTTTTGGGTCCACATCCACCTGTGTGTTTGTATAAATGTGCCTCAGCATGCACATGTGCACATTCAGGTGCAGTGGAGAAGCAGATGTTGTGTTGTACTCTGTAGGTGCTGCATTTAGTCTGTATAATGAACATGATGATTAGCATCCCCTAGACCCAGCACCGTGGCATTGCAGTCTGCTCATTTTTTATTATGCTCTGTATTGTGCTGTTCAGTCTTCTGGTGTTGCTCATTCAGGAACAGACGTAGCAAATGTTATGGATTGAACAGTGTAGATATGTAGATTTAATATTAGCTGTGGTTGAAGTTGAAATTCTATACTTATGGTTAGTTACAATCAAATTATTCAAGTTTATGGTATTGTTACTCTAAACTGGGAGACATTCAGTGCAGTGGTGATTTGTTATTGCTTTTAAACCCCTAAGTAGTATGAGAAATCAGGAGACAGAGCATGTTTACATATTCATATCACGTCCATTGAGTGCTTGTCATCCCTCAAATTGTAATTTCTTTTGTCTTTGAAGATAATAGGCCATAAATTGTCCTTGTTTGTGAGCCAACTCCTGAAAGCTCAGTGTTTATGAGTTTTACCACAGGGATTCTAATGGCCAAGCACCACTGCTGTGTCTCTTAGTGTCCTGTAAAGGTGAACGCCATGTTATCCTGTTGTTCAGTGGCCTGAAGATTAATAACACTTCTGCTAATTAATATCTCCTCTCAAATTCTTCATATTGGATTTGCCTTGCTTACAACAATGTCGTTAGGTTACATAACACTGTGGAACTACAGTTTAGTGTTTTCTTCTATAAATGTAGATTTGGCCTTCAAAACTAAGAAGAAATTGTTTCATATTCGCTATCAGGTTTTTAGTTCAAGGTTTTAGTTTTTTTGTATTATTATTTTTTATTAATGCAGAATAATTACCTGAGAAATGTAAGGTGAAATGGAATACTGCCCTTTATTGCTCCGGGCTCTGACATACACTGTAGATTAAAAACCTGGATAGAAATGGGAAAAGGAAAAGACAATATTCAGGTATTGTTAGCATAGCATTAAAAGAGAATGACTTGTAGCACTGGGGGAGTTGAATCATCTCCATATTAATGGCAAACTTGCAGAGGGAATACCCTAGCAGTCAGATGACCATCAGAAGCCCTCTACAGTGTGAAGGTGAAAGGTTTTAGGCAAATGGGGATCAGAGGACACACTTTTAGAAAGTGTACCACTGAGGATCCTTGAATTTCACTATGCAGAGGAACCGTGGGCTGAACTTAAGTTTAAAGTGATTGGCAGACTGTGGCTTTTCCGGGCAAAGTGACAGTAAAGTTATGCAGCCTCACTGGCGTGGACGGACTGGATGATAGGTTATGTTTTTTACAACCGGAGGCCTGAAGCTGCCACGGCAAGACAGGAACTGTGGTAATGAGGGGGCAGAGGCTCCGGAGATGATGAGGACCCCATGTCAGTCAGTAGGAGGGGAATTCCCGTCCAAAATACCAGGAATCTTTTTTCCATCTTCCACTTCCTTACATATTGTTTACTGTAACTCACATTTTAGAATATGGATAACCTCTCCCAAGGACAAAGCATATTAATGACAGCTGTGATTGCAATCCTGGAAAATTTCAATGGCAGATGACCTGTTGTGGTTAATTCAGACTGTGCTGTGTCAGTCACTCTGTCCAGCAGTCATCTTTTTTCAACCTTAAAAGCACAACAGGGCTGTGATTGCTCCAGAGACTGGTGCAGTGTGCTGACAGCCCCTTTGCTGCTTGAATAATACAGTCCAGCTATGGGAGGTGAGACAAGGTGCCAAAGTCCAATTCACTTACGGGACTCAACAGCACAAAAGCCTCTGGTTTACGGAAAAGGGGCATGAATTAATAATCACCTAATTGACTCTTAGGTTTTTTTCTCCACTCCTGCTCTGCCTTTTGTGCTTTCAAACAAAAGCCCACCCTGTGTATCTGTCAGAGGAGGTTTGGTGTAGATGGGGGCTCTGTGTCTAATGACCAGGCAGAAGAGGACAGAGTAACAGACAGACTCCCGACAGACATTAAGGTCACTGACAGAGGGGGAGCCCATAGTGGTCTCTGTGGAGGACTACTTGTAAGTGGGACAAGCATTGTTAATCTAACCAGCTACCAAGGATTAAATACAGAAATATATTGTTGTTTTAGGTCTTATTAAAGCATTATCTTTCAGGAACACTCTTAAAAGTTTATACAAGACCTTGTGATGAAACTGTAAGTTCCAGAGTAACTTGGTCGGAGTGACTGCTATAATATATATTAAAGAGAAAACAACAGGAATTATTCTTTTTTAAACATATTTTCTCTACTTTTGATTGTATTAGTGCTCTCTCAATTGCCCCCTCCAGTATAACATCAGAAAGTAAAAATAGACCCCACCTCTAGTTGTTGTCAGCTATTTTTTAACATCCATATCATATCTCACCAGGGACTGTGCTTTTCTGTTCTTTTTTGACAGTACATTGTTCCTGTAATAGTCTTATACCCTGCTCCATCAGGACCCAATGTTTTGGTCATTGGTTCTGATCACCTGCTCGTATTGTAGATCTCTGTGTCTCACGTGTGCGCATCTATGTTTGGACACCAGTGTCTGATCTGCCATGTTGGACTGTACGTAATGACAAAAAAAAAGGTAATCTTTATTTCATTCTCAGCTTTTCAATGTTTCGGCCATTTTTTTCATCACCCTTGACAAGGGAAAAACAGGATACAGTAGTTGGATGTTAGTCATGGTGCCGGTGATGGTGTCAGGGTGTAGGATTCTTAAGAGAAGGCGATTGATCAGATTTATGGAGTTCTAATTGGCCGTGACGAGAAAGACTGCGTCTGAGTAAGCCTCCCCAGCCCTCCATCTGTCCCCCTCTCTCTCAGTCTCTCTCTTACACACGTAAACATAAAACACCCTGAGCTGGAATGCCGGTTCTGGGCCCCTCTATGGTAGCTCTCCAGTGCCTCAGCATAAACAGCCACTTGTTTCACCTCTCTGGTGCTTATTGAGTAATTGTGAAAGTGGACTGTACTTGTAATCAATTATGTTTATCCTCTTAATCATAAGGCTGAGAGGATGCTTGTGTCTACTTAATCCAAGCTTACTTTCTGTACTGTATGCATGCACTTTATAGCTGCGGCACAAGCCCTGCGTTACCTGCTCTTATGCTCACATGTAAATTGAGTCATATTTAAGTTGTATTAGCTGCTATACTCAGCTGCATGCACAAATGCAGTGCATTTGGTTTTACAATAAAGAGCAGCTGCTTAAAAATGTTGCCATCTGATATGATAGTATTTAACAGATGCTGTTGGGTTTAGGCTACTTTTTGGCTCCTCTGCTTTCCTTTTTGCATTTCCGATGACTTGGATAACAGTTACAGTAGCTTTCCTTTCCTACCTTGTATCTATGAGGTTTCTGGTAAAAAGTCAAAAGTTGTTTAAGGTATTACTGAGCTGCTGATTGAAAGACAAAAGTCAAGATGCAGAGATCAGTGTTTTTACGAAATAATTCAATAGGCTAACTGAAAGAGAAATGTGTTTTGAAGGAATATATTATTGTCAATTAATGGAATTAGGACCCCCAAACATAGATCACATATTAGCACGAATTGTCCTATTAAATGTGAGCAATCAGATTTGTGAAATGTGAAGGTGACCACAAATGGCCATCTTTGTTTTCCTGGAGAGATGAGTTCAGGGAAAGTAGGAGTGGACTGAAGTGGAGTTGAGGAGGAATTGGTGAGGACAGTACCATGACTGAGAGGTTAATGTCAGGGAATGGGAGGTTCCTTTTGTTTAACATTCCCTTTGTTTATTGGCGGATGTGTTTAATAGGATTGACTGTGACTGGACCCTAATAGGGCCTCCCTGGCTGATCCCGGTGTCTCTGGGAGATCTCGCAGGCTGCTCTGTCCAAAGCCAGGTCCCCCACTGGGTAATCAGCTCAACTGCCCTCACCCTGATTGGAGCTGACATTTTAATGTCTGGAACAGGAGCGTGGTCAGCCCTGCTTAACCTGACCCCCCGCCAAAGTACCCCTCCCCTACCAATGCCCTCTGTTCTCAATTTGCCCTTCCAGGACTGTACAAATCAGGCCAAATTTAACTCTTTATGGGTTTGTTAGGGGTTGGCGAGACACCTCCTTAAGTTTCACAGTGAACTCTTTCCACTAGTGACAATGTGTGGTGCTGCTGAAGCTCCCCCATGCTGGCTCCATGTTGATTTAGCTCCTCCGTGAGCCCATGCTTCTTAACTGAGTGCTCAAGTGTGAGACCGTTCTGTTTGCTCCATCTAGTTCCCCTTTTTCTTTATAAAGTGGAATAATTTTACAGCAGTTTGCGGACATAGAAAGAAAAATACATGCTGTTTTGTTAATATTGGTGTTAATTGCATTTAATTGATTAGCTGATCACTGATTCAGTTTGTGAGCTTGTGAACACGCGAAGTAACTATAAAAGTTTGCAGGTACCCAACAATGACTGACATTTTTTACATTTCCACTGACTGAGAGCGCCACAGCATGGCTACATCCTGTGAAAATGCTTGGGTATAACTAATCATAAGTCTGAAGCCATCTTTTAACCCAATGGCATGTTCTTTTGTCTTAAAAAAACTCTTAGTTAAATGAAAGCGTGTTGTCGTTTACAACATAGCTTTGAGGAAATATTGAGATTTGCTCAGGTTCTCTAATCTTGCTGTCCTCTTTTTCTCTTTGTCACAGTCCACTTGCACAGAACTGAAACACTCTGGAAAAGGCTTAGCTGGTTGCAGAAATGCCAGTGAAACCTAGAATTCCACTGACATTCCCCTGCTTATGGAAACAAAGAGCTGAGGAATTTGCCAAGCTGGGTCAAACTGTAGGCACTGCTTGATTAAAACAAATATTTCTTGATCCCTTAAAAATGGCCTTTTAAAATAAATACAAATACAAATTTTGGCAAGTTAGAATTGTGACTATTGGTCAAGATATAAAAAAGCAGTCTTCCTCAGCTCTTCCTTATTGATCCTTTCTGTGACAACAAGGGCAAAATGTAGTTAAATACACATGTAGAAGAAGACCTTTGCAGAAGGGTTAACTTTGTTAACTAACTTAAATATGCTTGTGTTACAATATCAGGATTGCTTAATAAAACAAATTGTCACTCCAAAATGTACACAAAACTTTAACTTGAAAGTACTGCACCTTAAGTGATATTTGAGCATTACTTGTATGTATAAAAGACATGAATGGCCATAAACTGTTATACAGGTAAGAAGTATCTGAGGACAAGTAATTAGAGAAACAAGTTGTTTTTAAAGTTGAGTCTTAAGCTGATGTGGATGTCTTTACCTTCTCTTGCTGTATGTTTGTGTACCTTGTCTCAAGTTTAGAAACTCATGTGGATGGGAAATATGGGTGGTGTGAAACCTAAAGTGGCACCCTGTGGCAAAATAATATTTTTATTAGTTGTTTGTAGTGTTGTATGATATCCCGACAAGCCAACGGTGAAAGAGACAGCCCATCAGAGCATGTTGGCTGTGAGTTCCCCTTGCAGTAGCATGGGAAGACAAGTAAAAAGTGTGTGGTATTTTTTTATGGGGAGACATGAGTTGGATAACACACTTTCTCTGCCCAATTCCCATTAAATGCAGTTATATCACATTTAAGAAAGACATTCCAAAGCCCTTTATCCACAATGTTATTGATTGACCTGCTCCCAGGCTGCCAAGTCCTCACCTTGTCTTGACATGTCTGCTCTCCTCTCTTTATCCCTCTGTGTTTGTGTGCGTCTGTGCGAATCTTCAGCAGTGTCCGGCCACTTGGAACGGCACCAGTCAGATTCTCCAATTCCATCCAAAAGGCCCTCTTCGCGGTCAGAGACCTCCGAGAGCCCTCTCTCCTCAAAACGTCCCAGGACAGCTGAGAAGAGTGCTACGGAGCAGGTGAGAGTTACAAACCATCATTTTGATAACACTTATGTCTTCAGATGTTCATAAAACTCTTTGAATTAGGAGATTCATGCTGAAGGTTATCTTATCCTCAATAACCATGTCCTCATTATAAGCTTGAAACTTATACATCAATTAAAAGAAGAAATTTAAAATCTACTTCTAATAATTTTTTGTTTAGTTTTTTATATCATGCAGGCTTCTTTTTCAGATCTACCCAAAATTATTTTAACCTTTCTGCTGCAGTTGCACTGCTAATTGTGTATAAGGTGGAAAATCAATATAGTATTTGACAGATGAGAGCACTTTGAAGTGGGTGCCAAGACTCAGTGGTGCTCAGTATTACACAGTTTTCTGTGATCAGAGGGATCTGCCTGCTTGAGGGAAGGGGGCCCCAGTCTTCCGCCTGATCTAGAGCTCCTCTTCAAGCAGGCCCACCGTGCTCACTGCACCCACCTTATTAACCCCACCCCTCCACCCCCCCTCTTTTTCTTTTGCTGTCTCTACCTTCCCCCAGATGTACCAGTGCCCCTACTGCAAGTTCACCAACACGGACCTGAATCGTCTCAGAATGCACGTGATGACGCAGCACTCTGTCCAGCCCATGTTACGCTGCCCATTATGTCAGGACATGCTCAACAACAAGATCCACCTGCAGTTCCACCTTACACACCTCCACAGTGTGGCTCCTGACTGTGTTGATAAGCTTATTGCCACAGTAAGTCTAGTGATGTGTGATTGGATACTGGGTGGTTTTCATTTTTATATTCCTCAGCCAGCAATGCTTTTGAATCCTTTCCTTTGCCAACTTGCACATTTCAAGGTAACCTGAAGTTGGCCTGTGTTTTTTTTTTGATTGGTATGTATTAGCCTGGCACGGAAACTACACATTGTTTATTCTGGTCATCCAGCACCATAGCAAATAGAATGCATAAGTACTTTAGGTAATGCATTATCCAAAGTTTATGTAAGTCAGGGAATGCAGTGAAGGAAAAGCACAATAGATGAACAAATGTACGGCCTTGTCACCAGGGGAGGCTGTGTTGTATACATTGCACCAATCCAAGTTGTGATTCCTATTTCTCTATCCACTCTGTCACACAATGTGTCTGTCATTATCTCCACAGTCATTTATGTTTTGTGTTAGAGGCAAGGAAACCACAGCCAGTCGAGGCTGTATGTGCCCATCATGTTGCTACTTTTACACAATATGGGCAGATTGCAGGCAGTGGGTCAGGTCAAGGACCAGTGTAGGGATTCAGCAATGCCAAGAAGATGAGTCGCTTGCTCTTCATCAATGCCTTACCCTGGAGTGGCTGCCTAGCTGTGAGAACAATTGTCATTCCGGTCTTCCCTTCTCTAAATTGCCAACATTCAGTCCTTTATCAAACACAAAGATGCTGTTAATTGTGAAATGGCTGCAGGCAATCCCATTGGCTCATTGGAAATGATTGGGCCTTTTTAAGATGCATATTTTTTTCCTCTTTTTCATTGTCTTAATGTGCCCATCATCAGAGAGCCTTTTTTACTGCTCTCTTCTAATCATAGTCATTTGGGGAGGGGAATTCATAATCTGTTTTTGTATTTTTTAATGATTTCAAGATGAGCAGGTCTCTTAGCTCCCAGTTCATTTATTACTACACTGACATTGTTGCCATGTCTATGATCACCTGTATGCGAGTCAAAACAAAGCCTTTCATTATGAATATGTTAAAATTATTGTGACACAGATTAATCAAAATTTAATGAACAGTTTTCCTGCACTATTGAAACGCAAGTACAAGCAATAGAAATCTTATTATTCGCTACAAATCAAGCCAACAAGTCTCATAAAAAATCTGTGTATATGTATATATATGTATATATGTATATGCATATGTAAATGTAGTATATTTATGTAGGCTGTGTAGAAAACAAAACACTTTGTTTTCTGTTTCAGTGTTCAGGTCCACGCTTACAGGAAATAAGATGCAAAATTTGCAGTGTTTGTAGCTTGAGTCATGAAATCTTTGACTCTCAAGTCCTGAAGTTAGATTTATATCAGCTGCAATGCACTGGTGCACCATTTTTACCTAGAGAGAATACTTTCTTCTTTCTTTAATACTCATCAAGGGGAAATAAAATTTTATTTGCCCTGTTTTCTTATAAATCACTGAGCAAATCTTTGTTATGTTCTATCCTGTGAAGCTAAATAGCTTGCTGGACAATCACAGAGTGAAACATTGCTCTGTCTTCTGCCTCGCCATCTTCAACCCCATCTAGAAAGTAAATGGCAAGCACATTAGTATGGTAGACGGCAATATTTATTTCTTTTATAGAGGTAGTAATGTACTGAACCACTACAAGAGGGCTGTGATAGAACAGAGGTAATATAACACACATTAAAGGTAGCACCTTTTTATAACTGGTGAATGCAGATGGAGAGGTACTTTATCCTTTTCACATGTCTAAGGAGAGGAGCCTAATTAATTCTGAAATAGGTGACTTTTATTTCTTGCCAAGCATACATAATGATGCGTTCACTCTCCCACTCTTCATTCCTTCATCCACCTATCTTCTTTACACTCCCTCCTCCCTCCTTTCCTTTCCTCCCCATGTCTCTCATGTCTCTCTGTCTCATATACAGTACGTATATACGGTGCAGTATATTATATATATATATATATATACACACACTCCTCCAGTCCTCCCTCTCCCTCCATGTCTAATTTTCTGTCTGTGTAAGATAGGGGTAATGAAAATAATTGTGCTTCATTAATTCTGAGTCTGGCTGGATGATAGCCATTTTGAACTATGTTTGCCAATTAGGCGGTCCAAATTAAAAGTGACCTTGGGATACTCCGCTCTTTCCACTAATCGCCTAATGAAGCAGTTGTCTAGAAACAGTCCACTTTGTAATGTAAATTATTGCTTTTTTTTGTTTTGTGACTTTCCATGCTGGTTGCATTCATTTTCCACTTTTCATTTTGATGAGATAGAGAAGTAACAAAGACAAAAATGGAAATGGCTGGATGTTTTCTGCAAAATTTGCGACCACAAAAACCATATGGTGCTGTACTAGTGTTAACTCTTCTACTTAACCTTGAAACTCCTGTTGCTTTAGAATGATTCTGCTCTATTTGGATCTGGCCTATAGGCTATATGACATGCTACAGTACTTTCATCTTTGTTCTCACTGTGCCTATTAAAGGAGTAATTAAAAGACATATGGTACACATGGTATATTAACCAAAGCATCAACCATACAGATTTGACACTGCACTCTCTTGCTTTTCAATACCATTGCATTAGATGTTTATTTCCATACCTTAAATATTAATTTTGATCAACTATTGATCTCATGTTATAATTTCTGATCATTATGAACTGATTATGTTTACGTATTGTGTGTACAACTGTTGTTTACGTGCTGTCTTTGATTTTAAGTTTTAGACAGTAGACATCTCCTAAAGGTCCCCCAATGTCACAGATACATTGGAAGTGACTGCAGGATGCACCAGGATGCATTCTTTAAGATTTTCTTCCCTTGAGACATGTCTATTTGATATTACTTGAAAGTTGGGATGCACTGATTGGGAAATCTTGGGCCAATACTGATGTGTAAAACAGCAATTTGGCCGATAGACAATGCCAATGCTGATGTTTTTTGTTATTTATTCGCCCTTTTGTGCCAGGGAAACAAAGAAATATACAAAGATAAGCATCTATGCCTTGTTGCAGCTCAGTTATTTTCTCTTCTCATACAAGATGTGAGATGCAGAGCTGAACAGCCGCTCACTGTCTGTGCTGGTGCATGGAGCGCATCAGTATTTACATGCAATTTGTGTCAGTGGAGATGGGTATTTCTACAATGCCCAAGTTAGAAATATCCAACACAACATTTAGCCAGTGCAAAATTGACATGACACAGCAGATAAACATTGGCCACTAATATCTATGAATATCATCTTATTTGCTGATTGACCGATGTTAGACAACAAGGTGAATATCGGCCAATACAGATGTTCAGCTGATATATCGGTGCATCCCTACTTGAAAGAACTACCTGTAAGTCAATAGGCTAGGAGTGAAAAGTGAAGAGTATCTTAGAAATTGAGGTTCAGCAGTGAAACAGAAGGGTAAAGAGGAGGGGTGGTGTGAATTGAAATGCAGCATGAAGAGTGAAGCTGATTACTGTGTTTGTGAAGTTAATTGAAGGAAGGTGAAAAAGACAGGGCCTCATCTTCCAACCTCACCTAGTTTCAGCTGATGATTATTGTTAAATGGGCAACTGTTAATGAGTGACTGTGATGAATTATCACGTTTTGGTGGTGAAAAGAGGCTAACAGAGGCAGATGAAGATTGTGGGAAAGAAGTACCAATAAACAGAGGTTTCTGTCGTTCACACATGACTGACTCCAACCTGAGTGCAGGGAGAACCTGGGTTCCTCTTTGTAGTTTTTCAATCAATACTTATTCGTCCTTGAAATGTTCCAATTAGAAAATTAAAAAGAAAAAACACATTTTTACATTTAAAATGCATTCCCTTTTGTCAGCAATGAAATTGTTTTTTCTTTTGATTTTACTGTTTTATTTAAGGAGTACAAAGTCAGATTTAGCAGTTCCTCTTAAATTGAATAATTTTTAATTTACTTAAACTTAGGACTGTACTACTGAGAATTCTGAAGTTAGTTATTAAAGTATATGGTTGCTGGATGTAGTTTACCTACTTTATCCCTTCATTACAGTTGTCCTTTTTTTTTTTTTTTTTTTTTTCCAAGAGTTTATTTTAGTTTAGACATGAGGTCCATTATCCTAACTGGCTGATGCAGAACTTGAAGCCAAAGCATAGGACTGTTAAACTTCACATTCTGTGAATGGCAAACAAAGTAAATAGTATGGATATGATTCTGTGTATGGATGTATTATGTGCTTGTTAAATGTTTAATATGAAAATGGTAATATACAAATGTGTAAAGATCTCAGCATTGATTCGCTTGATTTTTGTGTTAAATGTCAGTGATCCTCACTGCTATGTAAAAATGTAATGTATACTAACTACAGTTAGTATGCATTACCGATCGGTCTAACCCCCTTCTTGGTAACTATATTGTGAATCTTCTTGTTTGTGTCTGTAGTTTTCCATCATTAAACTAAAATATAAAACTGCATTATCTTTCAGTGAGAATAACACTAGAACTCCTTTGTGCTTTGTTCTTCCAGGTAACAGCAAGTGAAGTACTGCCAGCAAGCATGTTCATACCTGTACCTAGTCCAGACAGAGAATCCCAGAGCACCCCTCATGCCACAGCCAACTCTAACTCTGAAGATACAAAGAAGCAAGCTGGTTAGTATCTGACTATGTTAAAAATTTGGAGGTTCATTTGGAGTAGGTCACTTTTTTCAAAATCTAAAATGTGTTCTATAAAAAGCTTATAATCACATTAGGTAATCATGGCTGAATGTATACCCGTGTATGCACACACTGGTGCAATATTAAGTAGTAGTTTTTGTTACATAGAGTGGAAATGATGTGTCATTGTTTAGGTATTTATTGTTTTACAAAAGCATTGTGTTGGTTATGGTTTCATAATATTTTTTACAGACAGTGTAATGAATGAGACAATATGAGTGATTGTTGGTATTCACAGGCCTTGTAATTTGCCCTTGCTTTTTAATGTTTTTTCACCTTCCCAAGTGTACTAACATGATTTACATTCCAGTCGTATGTAGGCACCTAATGATTTCCTCTCTTCTTTTGGCTTATTGATTCACAGATGTATCAGATGCTGATCCAGAGAAGGGGGTGTCACTCCCTACAGAAATAGCTGAAGCTCGCAAGTCACCTCTGGAAGATCAACAATCGGAGAGGGATGATGCCACAGGATTTCTTTGTTGGAAGAAAGGCTGTAATCAGGTGTTCAAGTCCTCCAACTCCCTCCAGATGCACTTCAATGAAGTTCACAACAAAAGGCCCCAGCTGCCTGTTTCAGATCGTCATGTCTACAAGTACCGCTGTAACCAATGCAGCCTAGCCTTCAAGACCGTAGAGAAACTACAGCTCCATTCACAGTACCACGTGATCAGGGCAGCCACCATGTGCTGCCTCTGCCAGAGAAGCTTCAGAACACTACAGGCCTTGAAGAAACATTTAGAAACCAGCCACCTGGAGCTGAGTGAAGCTGATATCCAGCAGCTTTATGGGGGCTTACTGATGAATGGTGACATGATGGTAATGGCTGACCCATCCCTTGGTGAAGAGCCTGGAAGTCTGGGAGAAGATGACAAAGAGGGAGATGACAGTGACACAGAGGAAAAACAAAGCCCAACAGGCAGTGACTCTGGCTCACTGCAGGAAGATTCTGGATCTGAACCTAAACGTGCTTTGCCATTCAGAAAGGGCCCCAACTTTACTATGGAGAAGTTCTTGGATCCATCTCGTCCTTTCAAGTGCACTGTATGCAAAGAGTCTTTTACACAGAAGAATATTCTTCTAGTTCATTATAACTCTGTCTCCCACCTGCACAAGGTGAAGAGGGCTCTTCAGGAGTCCACTACTGGCCAGCCGGAGCCCACCAGCAGCCCTGACAACAAGCCATTCAAGTGCGGCACATGTAACGTGGCATATAGCCAGAGTTCTACTCTGGAGATCCACATGCGCTCTGTTCTACACCAGACGAAAGCCAGGGCAGCCAAACTTGAAGCAGCAGGAGGGATTACTAGCTGTGCAAGTGCTACTGGTTTAAGTGGTGGGGGGTCCAGCATCAGCACTTCAACTTCTAGTCCAAGCCCAGCCAGCAACTCAACTACTAGCTCTACCAACCACAGTTCTCAGACAGCTCAGAGTATCCTTGGAGGAAACCATATGAGCCAGACTCATAGCATTGAAAACCTAGGAAATTCTTCAGTGAGCTGCCATTCCTCACCATCTGAGAACCACGAAGTAAAAAAGTCGAAATTTTCAGACATGCTGTCTGCTAGGGGGCAACAGCAGCAACAACAACAACAGCAACAGCAACAACAACAGCAACAACAACAACAGCAACAACAACAACAACAACAACAACAACAACAACAACAACAGCTTCAGCAACAACAGCAATTAGCCCAGGCTCAAGCCCAAGCTCAAGCCCAGCTACAGCAAGAGCTCCAACAGCAGGCTGCTCTTTTACAATCACAGCTATTCAACCCAGCACTTCTGCAGCACTTCCCAATGACAGCTGATGCACTTCTCCCCCTTCAACAGCAGCAGTTGCTATTCCCTTTCTACATCCCTGGAGCAGAATTTCAGCTGAACCCAGAGATCAGCATCAGTAACTCCCTTGGCCTAGCAGGAACCTCCACCTCCTCTCTGCTAGAAGACCTAAAAAATTCAGCCCAGCAGGCCCAGCAAAGTTGCTTGCAGCAGCAGTTGATGCACCACCACCTTCAACAGCAACATCAACAACAGCAGCAGCAGCAGCAGCAGCAACAGCAGCAGCAACAGCAGCAGCAGCAGCAGCAGCAGCAGCAGCAGCAACAGCAGCAGTCTCACTCACAGGCTCAGGGGCAGATGGCATTGCTGCAACAGAGTGCATCTCTCCTCCAGCATGTTGAAAAAAAGCAGAGACATTCCTCCTCTCAGAATGAGAAAGACAGAGAAATACAAAGAGAGAAGGACACAACTGAAAAAAATGAAGAATGTGTTAATAAAGATTCTACAGACAGCAAGTCAAAAGAAAAGAGGGACATTCAGCATATTTCAATAAACATAAACCATGATACTGGCCTGCCTCCACCAAGGATTGCTTCAGATGCTCGAGGAAATGCAACTAAAGCCCTGCTGGAAAATTTTGGGTTTGAGTTAGTAATTCAGTACAATGAAAATAAACAGAAAGCTCAGAAAAAGACAGCTGGACCTACAGGATCAAGTGGCCCAGGTGGGATAACAAGAGTGGTGGACCCCATTGAGGGATTAGAGAAACTGGAATGTGAAGCCTGTGGCAAGCTGTTTTCAAACATACTGATTCTAAAGAGTCACCAGGAGCATATCCACCAGGCTTTCTTTCCATTTCGATCCCTTGAGAGATTTGCCAAGGAATACAGAGAGCATTATGATAAACTCTATCCACTGAGACCCCCTACACCAGAGGCTGCTCCAGCTCCTCCACCGCCTCCTCCTCCACCTCCACCTCCTCCTCCACCCCAAAGAGCTCCCACACCAAATATCCCTGTCTCTTCTGCCTCTCTCACACCTCCAACTGTACCCACCCCACAGCCGCAAGTTCAAATGACACAAATTCCCATGCCAATGGATTTGCCCCTCTTTTCACCACTCATGATGCAGCCCATGTCTCTCCAGTCCTTGCCCACTCAGTTGCCTCCCCAGTTATCGTCTGTTGAGCCAAGCCTGGCCTCAGACCTGGCCCAACTTTATCAACAGCAGCTTACACCAGCCATGCTACAGCAACAGCAGAACAAGAGGCCACGGACACGCATCACAGATGACCAGCTTAGGGTCTTGCGACAGTACTTTGATATCAACAATTCACCAAATGAGGAGCAGATTAAAGAGATGGCAGACAAGTCAGGGCTGCCACAAAAAGTCATAAAGCACTGGTTCAGAAACACCCTTTTTAAAGAGCGGCAGCGCAACAAAGACTCGCCATACAATTTCAATAATCCGCCAACAACAACTCTAGAAGAAACAAAAGTTGACTCTAAACCTCCTTCCCCTGAACCTCAGAAACACGAATTATACGGAAGTAAGAGATCATCCAGAACGAGGTTTACTGACTACCAGCTAAGAGTGCTGCAAGACTTCTTTGATGCCAATGCTTATCCTAAAGATGATGAATTTGAACAGCTCTCCAATCTTCTTAGCCTCCCCACACGTGTGATTGTTGTGTGGTTCCAAAACGCTCGCCAGAAAGCAAGGAAAAATTATGAAAACCAGGGTGATGGAGCAAAAGATGGTGAAAGACGAGAATTGTCAAATGACCGCTATATTCGCACCTCAAATCTGAACTACCAGTGTAAGAAATGCAGTCTGGTTTTCCAGCGTATATTTGATCTAATAAAACACCAAAAGAAGCTGTGTTACAAAGATGAAGATGAAGATGGACAGTATGACAGCCAAAATGAGGATTCACTGGATCTTTCCAATGAATGTTATACTCCCTCTGGGTCTTCCTGTCACACCCCAATGCCCTCCTCTTCAAGTCTCTGCCCACTTCCACCCTCCACTTCAGCATTCTCACACCTCCCATCCACTGAGAAAGAGGAGGCATCACCAGCAAGCACGTCAAACATGTATGATGAGAAGCCCAAGCAGTTAACAGAAATTTCTGCTGATCTACGTGAAAACCAAACCTCTATAAAGCAGGAAATTGTACATCAGCCCCAGACTGAGTCACAACACCATAGACCTCAAAGAGAAGAGAAGATTCAGACTATCTCCAAGCCCATCAAACATTCATCTCCTTCTTTTTCTCAGCAACAACAGCAGTGTGGTCCTTCAGCCTCTCAGACAAGCCAGGCCTCATCACAAAGCTCTCACATGAGCCTCAATGCACACCTAACCTCTGCCACACAACAACTGGCACAACAGATGATCCCCTACCAGTGTGAGCAGTGCAAGGTTGGCTTCCCCTCCTTTGAGCACTGGCAGGAACACCAGCAATTACACTTCCTTTCTGTGCAAAATCAATTCATCCACCCTCAATTCCTCGACCGTCCAATTGACATGCCTTTCATGCTATTTGATCCCAGCAATCCTCTCTTGGCAAGTCAGCTACTCTCTGGGGCAATGCCACAGATTCCCAGCAGTTCTGCCACCTCTCCGTCCACCCCCACCTCCACCATGAACTCCCTGAAGAGGAAGTTAGAGGAGAAAGCTGGCACTAGCCCAGGAGAGAACGACAGCACAAATAGTGGAGAAGAGCCACAGAGAGACAAGCGACTCAGAACCACCATCACACCTGAACAGCTAGAGATCCTTTATCAGAAGTATTTATTAGATTCAAATCCTACACGTAAAATGCTTGACCACATTGCTCATGAGGTGGGATTAAAAAAGCGAGTAGTGCAAGTCTGGTTCCAAAATACAAGAGCTAGAGAGAGAAAAGGCCAATTCAGAGCTGTAGGGCCAGCTCAAGCTCATCGTAGGTGCCCTTTTTGTCGAGCACTTTTTAAAGCAAAAACTGCCCTTGAGGCACACATTCGCTCTCGTCACTGGCATGAAGCCAAACGTGCTGGATATAATTTAGCTCTCGCTGGTATGTTACCTGAACAGGAGGGTATGCAAATAAAAATGGATGCTCTAGACACGTCAAGTTACTCCCAACTGGCCCCATCAAACAGTGATGGACAAAGCTCCTCCATGTCACCAGTGAACAAAAGCATGGATTTGTCTCCTAGGGCTCTACTGAGTCCTTCATCCATTAAAGTAGAGGGAATGGAAGATTTTGAGAGTGCCATGGCAACCATGTCCTCTGTAAACCTCAGCTTTGATCAAAGCAAACTGGATAATGACGACTGTTCTTCTGTGAATACAGCAATCACAGACACAACCACAGGTGATGAGGCCAATGCTGATAATGACAGTGCTGATGCAAAGCATAGCCAAAATAGTGGTGACTACCTGTCTAAGTCTGGGGGCTCAGCTCCTATCCTTGAAAATGATGACCAGATGTCCTCAGGGCTGGTAAGCCCTGCAACAAGTTATTATGCTAAGGACTATGAAAATGAACATATGATTGACCACAGTGAAACATCCAGCCTGGCTGACCCTTGCTCACCAAGTCCTGGAGCCTCAGGTACCAGGAGCATCGACAGCGGAGATCGACCTGGCCAAAAGCGCTTCCGAACCCAGATGACTAACCTCCAGCTGAAAGTGTTGAAATCCTGTTTTAACGATTACAGGACTCCCACTATGCTGGAATGTGAGGTACTTGGTAATGACATTGGACTTCCAAAGAGAGTGGTTCAGGTGTGGTTTCAAAATGCCCGTGCCAAGGAGAAAAAGGCAAAGCTTAATATGGCCAAGCACTTCGGAATAAATCAGACATCCTACGAGGGGCCGAAGACTGAATGCACTTTGTGTGGTGTCAAGTACAGTGCTCGCCTCTCTGTTCGTGATCACATTTTCTCCCAGCAACACATCCACAAGGTGAAGGATACCATTGGCAGCCAGATCGATAAGGAAAAAGAATACTTTGACCCAGCCACTGTCCGCCAACTTATGGCCCAGCAAGAGATGGACCGCATTAAGAAGGCCAATGAAGTTTTAGGACTGGCACAGCAGCAGGCCATGCAGCAGCAGGGGATGTTTGACAACCCTGCAATGCAGGCTCTGAATCTCCAGTCAGCCTATCCAAATCTGCAAGGCATTCCACCTGTCCTTTTGCCAGGGGTTGGCAGCCCCTCTCTTTCCAGCTTTAACTCATCTAATTCAGGTACGTCATCATTTGGCATTCATTCACCAATTCACAGCTACAATTTGAAGTTGCAGATGTTTTTTTTTAACATAAGTGTAACTACCTACAGTAATCACATATTGTACTAACAATCGTAAAAATAAAATAGTAGAACATAATATTTGACTCCAATCGATCAGTCTACTGTAGAATGTGTAACATAAGGTAATGGCATTTCTTCCATTTTTTTTGCCACTGAGTACAGAATCTGCCTTAATGTCAACACCTAATAATTAGACCCACAAGACGTTAACTTTATCACTATTCACGATTTTCATTTAGCTTTTCTATGTGTATATCATATAATGAAGTAGTTGTAGTTGAATATCCTTTTAACAAATTGTACTTTCATCAAATAAATATACCTATTAATGTGTAATTGTTTGTCTGTATTTGAAAATCTTCCAGCTTTAACTCCTCCAAAACCTTCAAACCTCCTGAACATGCCTGGTGCCAGTGTTCCCTCACCTAGCCTCCCCACATCCGGATTGCCCAACAAGCCTCCATCCTCATCGTCTCTCGCCGCATCCAGCCCAGCCCAAATCAACACGTCTGCTTCCCACTCAAGCCCCACCTCCACATCCAACTCCACTTCTTCAACCACCCAGTCCGGCTCTCGGCATGAACCCCCCAAAGAACGTGATGTTGAGAGGGTAAGAGAGAAGGAGAAGCTAAAGGAAAAGACAGAGAAGCCCCCAACCCCATCGTCAACTGGAAGCACCCCTGCCCCTTCCACTTCTGCTGCCAGCGCCAAGAAGGAGAAACCAGACACAGCTGTACCTGCCACCTCTATGCCCACACCCGGCATGGAGTATGTGGTAGACCCTGCACAGCTTCAGGCCCTGCAGGCTGCTTTGGCATCTGACCCCACAGCTCTCCTCACAAACCAGTTTCTGCCATACTTCATGCCTGGCTTTTCACCATATTACACCCCACAGATCCCTGGGGCTCTCCAAGGGGGCTACCTGCAACCAATGTATGGTATGGAAAGTCTCTTTCCTTACAACCCAGCATTGTCTCAAGCACTGATGGGCCTCTCCCCAGGGTCCCTGCTGCAGCATTACCAGCAATATCAGCAGAGCTTGCAGGAGGCACTACAGCAGCAGCAGCGGCAGCTTCAGCAGATCCAGCAACCCAAGGCGAGCCAAACTCCAGTTCCCCCACAAACCTTGGGGGATCGCAAAGAATCTGCCAAAGATCCAGTGAAAACAGAGGAGCAAAAGGGCAACCCGCATAATGAACCCCCCACTTCCTCCTCCTCTTCCTCCTCCTCTCATAATAAAGTACCCCCTGAGCAGAATGACATGGATGGCAAAGCTGTAGACCCCCATCTAGACCAGTACATCGTCCCCAAGGTGCAGTATAAACTGGCATGCCGCAAGTGTCAAGCAGTTTTCACCAAGGAAGACGCGGCTATTACCCACCTTAAATCTAACTGTTTTTTCGGTCAGTCTGTGGCAAACCTGCAAGAGATGTTGCTGCGTGTCCCCGGTGGCGTAGGTGCAGGGGCTGGAAGTCTCTATGACTGCCTGGCTTGTGACACTACGTTGGATGGGGAGAAAGCACTCAGTCAACACCTGGAATCGGCATTGCACAAACACAGAACAATCAAGCGATCAGCCAGAAATGCCAAAGAGCACGCTACTAGTTTATTACCTCACTCTTCAGCCTGCTTCCCCAATCCTAACACCGCATCTACCTCGCAGTCTGCCACTCATCCCATCAGCAGCCCCCCTCCCCCGCCAACAACATCAGCCACCATGCCATCCTCTGCTGTCTCCTCTTCCCTGTGCTCCTCCTCTACTACCCCACTCAACACCACAGCTGCCGGCAAACCATGGCCCCAGGCCCCTTTCTCCAGAGCTTTAGCTGGGAAGCCCAATGCCAGTCCCTCCTCTTCTTCCTCCTCTTTTCCTCCAATGTCCTCACCTTCAACGGTTACCTCAAGTTCATTGAGCACCTCAGGAGTTCAGACCTCGATACCAACAGACGTCTTTACTGACGAGTCTGACTCTGACAGCAGTCAGAAGTCAGCAGACAGGCTGGGCAGGACGGCGGAGGAGCCGCAACAGCCTGGCTTTGTCAAAGACAGTAGTAGTTGTAGTAGTAATCTTGCTAGTGTAGGAACAGACTCCATCAGATTGTAAAAGAGCTTTCAGTGATGGACAATATTTAAAAAACACTAAAAAAGACAAAAAAAAATCACAAATGGAAAAAACATAAAAAGCAGCAATGTTAAAAATACATTAAAAGTATACAAACCAATTTCAGAAAAAGATGTGTAAAGACTAACTGCAATTCCAAAGCTTGTAACCAAAAATTTAAATGTTAGTGGATTGTTTTCCCATATCAACATGCTGGTTTTCGTTTTGTTTTTTGTTTTTGTTTTACTCAACTGAAATACATGCATACTAATATATGAGAATAGAAAAGATCGCTGCAGTTATGTTTTGGGTAATGGTAGAGGAATGCTGTACTGTATGGCAATGGACTGCCTCAAAGTTGACAAATGGCCCAAGAAACCTTTTGAAGAAATACGCGTCAACAAGCTGTCCCTTTGTTTTGTTATAATTTCTACTTAATAGCACAGTCACAAAAAGCCAGTATGTACTGTATGGGAGAATAGTCTATCAGTTTTCTTGCTATTTAAGCATTCAGATACCAATGGCTTGCAAAAGTAAAAGAATAATGTAATGTCTATTTTATTCTCAGGTCAACAGCTCACAGATGTTTTTTTTTGTTACAGAAATCCATGTTTTACACATTTGTTTCCAACAGGAGATGAGCTTTTCTTTTCTTTTCTTTCAGAACTTGATTTAAGAAAGTTTTAAGTTCAATTTTAATAAGGCATTGTTTCTGGGCATTCAAAAAGGGTAGGTAAATCCAATGATTTGCTGATTTTAACATTAGAAATCCTTTTAAAGGGGGGGGGGGGGTTCACAATCCCATTATACCCAGACAAGGAGAGCATTGCAGACATAATAACGGGCGATAAAAAGAGTTTTGATTAAAAAAAACAACCTTCTGTATTTATGATAGATATGAACATTTTTGGTGTTAAGTAGATTGTTGCATTGGAAATGAATTTAAACAGTATGGTAGGTTGAAAAAAACTTTGTGTACATTTAGCTTTTGTATTGTCCAACTTTAAGACGCTTCATTTGATGTTGTCTTGGTCATTCCGATAGACTAGATTATGGACAGGTAATTTATCTCAACTTTATTTCTGTCTTATTCTTAACTTTTTGGGAAACATTCACCCAAATGCCCCTCCTGACAAGGCAGGATCCTCTTTTAGAATTATTTAAATTTTATGGTTTGGTTGGTATTGCTCTAACCAAAACAGAAAAGATCCTGGGTGAAATATTGAAAGTTATATTTTATTTAATTTTTGTGTTACCTTTGTGCACTTATTACTGTCTGACTCCTATTTCTCACTCTACTTGTTCCTCTTCGCACTTATTTTCTCTGCTCTCCTGTGTTTGTAGATATGTACACTACAAAGCAGGTCTTTTGTTCTTCATGTAGTGTGGCTACAGTCTTTATTTCATTTTGACATTTTTGTTGTCATAAATGAAAATGAAAAAAGAATACTAATAATAATTCTCACGCTTTAAGACAAAAAGAAAATCCAAAGACTAAACACTTTCACCATTGGTGCATAAATATGAGAAAAGAGGCTTCTTTATACTTGAGAATTTGTTGCTGTTTTTAGAGGAAAGAAAACAAAGTTTTAAAAGATAAAGGAGTACGCATCAGAGTTGCCGTTTTTGCTTCTTTGCAAGCAAACAGGTGGCTTTTTTACGTAAATACCAAAAACCAAAAAGGGCCCTTGTCCTTGCATTGTGGAGTAGCACCGTTACAGAGCCATTGCAGTTTGTAAGATAGAGGTTATTAATCTTTGTTTGACTTTTTTGTCACATTCAAATGTCCATTTTTTTAAGAAAATGTATAAGGTCTGGTCTTCAAGGACATACGTTTTGCTGCTAATGTAGAATTTTGAAAGAAAAAAAAAGAGTACCTAGATGCATGCTCATTTTGCTTTTGGCTAAGCTTTAACTAAAACAAACAATAAACCAATTTCTTGCCTCTGCAACACTTTTTTTTTTCTTGTTGCAAAAACGGAACTTTGAAGACTGTGAATATATGTTCCAAAGGACATTTTGCCGATTTTCTTTTTGAACAGACCAATGTTTAAAGCCAATGATCTATAACGTTTGTAAAGAACAGTGCATTCCAAATATCACAATGGATTTTTCTTAAGCAAGGACTGATCATATTTCGTTTAATTGCTTTTAATTGTCACAATCTATTTTTTTTTTTCTCATTTTTAAAGTGACTGTAAACTGTTGTGTAAATCTTTGCATCATTGGTTGCTGAACAAAGTGACCTTCATATGTCATTTTGTGCTGGCATGGAACATTGCTGAAATTCCCTCCATCCAGTCAAGGTTGTTGCTCACTTGTTAAGCAAGAAATAGTGGTTACCAAAAAATGTATATAATACATCTGGTACTGATGCGTCTCATAGGTTTAGCAACATTTATGCCAGTCGACATACAACTAGTCTCAGAGGGAAATGATAGCGGTTTTGCTGAGGTGCCGTTGCCTCCTTCCTGGGAAATCCACCAGTGACTTGTCCCATGTGTCTGCAAGGTGCCACTTCCACACATAGATTACAGGTTTTTAAGGGACATCTTCATTCCAAAGCATTATTTCTGGAAAAAGTAGGAGGTTTTTTGAAGATGTCCCTTGATTTCAGATAGCTAGGATGCTTTCATGTCCAAAGAAGTCACCCACTTCATTTTATTGCAATGGAAATGGATGTGCATAGGTACCCCCACCCTCTCACGGATGATCCAATGAACCCAAATTTTTATTTTTTAAACCAAAACCAAGACATATTTAAATTTGTGAAGAACTACTTTTTTGGCCACTATTGTATAGCCAATATATACTTGCCCCAATTAGTACACGGCACAATCTCAGAAGTGTGTTTAAAGTGCTTCATCTTGCAGAGCAATGTGATTTGGTGTTAATACTACAGCATGCTGTTGAAAGTCGGGAGATTTGGCCTGAAAGCTTGCTATTTCTCTAAAGTCCAGTTCCCTGAAATACTGTTATGTACTTTCTTATTTTGGAAAATTCTTAAGTTGTACAGGTTTTCTCAAATATGTTTGCTTTATTTTAATTTTCAGACGATGTCAGACATGTATTGTATTTGTATTTTATTTTAGTGTCTGTATATTACTTTTTATCATAAATTAACACTAGCTTTAATTTGAATTGCTGAAATTGAGAAACAAAAACAAAAATATGACCTGGCCACTTTATGGTGTGATGATGTTCTTTATATTCATTGTCTCAATGATACTGTTTGCTCTCTTATTTCCAAAGTGTAATCTTTTGGGCTCTTGTGTGGAAGACATAGTTGAGGTCTCTACATAAGATTCAGCCAGCATGGACTGTGTGTGAGTTTGTGTGTGTGTGTGTGTGTGTGTGTGTGTGTGCGTGTGTGCGTGTGTATGTGTGTGTGTGTGTGTGTGTGTGTGTGTGTGTGTGTGTGTGTATGTATGTGTGTGTGCGTGTGCGTGCGTGTGTGTGTGTGTGTTTTTCATAAGAGCCAGCATCAATTCAATTTTTTCTTGTTTGCCTTTTATTGTTTATATGTTACACACCAAAACAAACTGAACCACAAAGCTGGATTATAAATAACTGAAATTTAGGAAATCAAATTTTAAAGGTAATGTTCAGAAATGAGAATGATGAAACAGAAGCACTGAGCAGTTTTTACTTTGATTGAATATATGAATGTGGCCAAAGCTTTATGCAGTTGAAACAAAAAGAAGAAAAATTACAAGTTGTGCCCCAGATAAGTGTATATTTTATTGTGGCACAAGATGCTATTGTGGATAATTGGATCCACTGACTTACATTGGGATACTTGATTTTAATGGACATTTACAAAGAGAGCGCTAAAGACAAGGTTTTGCTGTAGAGGTCATCTTTTGCCCACTGTGAAAACGAACGTGTACCTGTATACAGATATAGATATATTTAAAACAAGACATCAACTTTTTTTGTTTTTGAGATGAAGAAGGAATGAAAAGAGAAAAAAAAGGACTCTGGGAAGCTTTGGAGATCTCATTAGGAGGACACGAGAGGCTGTGGGCACACCAAAACTGGGCATGGGAGCCAAAGGCCGGCTCAAAACAGCTTTAAAACCACCTCCTTATTTCATTACTGACAACTCTGTAATGGGAATGGACTCTGGAACCAATGGACATGTGTGACACAGAGAGGAAAGTCCTTAGATGAAACTGAACTTAAGTGGCTCGAGCTGCCTCTTTCTCCTTTCTGTCTGTCTCTTTCTTTCTCCAGCTCTGCCTCTGCTTCTGCTCTTTGATGGACATTTTCCAAATTTCAGGACAGGATGGACAGAGATGCTTGCTTCATTTCTCCCAGTTCATGTTGCTACCCGTTTCATTTCCCTGTGCTTGTCTCTGGTTGACAAGTAAAGCTCTCCAGTCAAATGGCGGCTCACCCCTCTCTCTGTTGATTACATAATCTAAAAAGAGAAATGAATAACAGAGAGAGGGGACGGGTTCTCAAAGCTGTCATTTTTAAAGAGGCAGTTACACTAAAAAAGCGTATTAACCAAAATTAACAACCAAACTAACAACCAAACAACCATTTGCTCCAACTTCAAAGATGAACTGTTACTTGGAGCTCTCTGTTCCTTTTGTGACTTCTGGTGCCACAATGTTTTTTTATGCTTTTAGTTTTTCTTTTTGTTTCCTTGAATTACTCCTCCTTTGAGCCTCATAAGCATGGCTCTGTGGCTCCAGGCAGCCCATCCGAGGGTAGAAAAAAACAGCCTTGCAATGTACAAAAAAGAGCAAGTTAAACCAAAAATGTTGTTCTTGATGTCTTTTCTATACTGTAGTCTTGTTAGCTTTTTTGTTACTGTAATTATATGATGAAGATTTCCAAACTGTACCAAATTACATGGAAACTAACATACATACAACCACATGGAACTTCAGACTTTTAAAGAAACTTTTGTCACAAAACCTTGTTGTCCTAGTTAAGTTGATTGTAGATGGTAATTGAATATACTCCTTTGAAAATATTTCATCAAGTATGTTTCTTGCTCATTGTGATACATTAAAAAAGTATGAGCATAAATTGCACTGGTTTGGACTCATCTTTGACTGTTGTGGGATTGTATCACTTGCTGTCAGACTACAGAACTCCTTTAATGTAAAACGTTTTATTTGAACCTGAAAGTAGCAGTAGTATAACTTTTTTTAATTTTGACCATGTATATTACAGATATGTTCACACACATCACAGAAGACCCCTTAATCAATTTTAAGATGATGATTTTTTATATTTAATAACAAACAAGTTAGTAATAGTTAACAAGTTAATAGTAAACAAGTTATTTCTGTGGTTTAAATAATTCCATAATTACTTTTTTACATATTTTTAAACTATTCTTAGTTTACGTCAGTATTACAGATTATGCCTTTAAGAAAAACACCAGAAATCATAGAAAATGCAACAAAAAAGATTTAACTGAACATACAGTGTAATTCTACATTTTAAATGCCAGAATTATGCCATTGTTATGCCAGTATATAGTTTTTATTATTAACACAATCTGCTACTATTCATTTAAAGCCAAACCAAATTTAGCCTAGCTGGCTAACATTTGCTACATCATAGGTAGTTTACCTGTCTGACAATTTCAGTGCCAAGTCTGTTTTACAGTGTGAATCTTCATCCACCTTTCAAATGCTGCACCCATGTTCAATCTGGAAAAACGATACAAAGTGCACAGTAAGCAGTGGGTAGTTCAGGGGGCCTGGGAGTTTGGACCATTCCCAATGAAAACAGAGGTGATCCAGCTCTGCCTGTTAAGCAAAACTGAATTTTCAGCAGAGATTGAGGTACAGTATACACTACCTCAATACTTCAGTCACATTGTACCAAGAGCCAGTATTACTGATTCAACCTTTAAATCTTATGTGTTTTTAAATGTTATTATGGCATTTACATATTTTTAATTAGTATGTAGAGTGGTCTTGTCAGATTGCTTCAGCCTCTGAAATTCTCTCTGCCTATGTGTTATGTTTAGGCCGCTGATAGGTTAGGGCACTTACAATCCTTAATATATACATATTAAGTGACAACTGTAAACTTCTTCTTAATTAGAGGTGACTGTGTGCACTGTAATCAGAGGCACTGATAATGAAGATTGGAAAAATGTAACCTAATGAGATGCATTGTTAGGTGTAACAATTAAAAAAGAAGAAATGCTTCTTAAATCATTTCTGTTAAAAGTTCATCAAAACTGTGATAAAAATAAACACACTTGTGGGTGTTTTACTTCATCAAGTATGGGTAAGACTATAATGACTACTAGTCAGAGTTGGTGAAGTACATTGTTGTTACCTATAGTTCTTTCACAAAGCAAATATGGGGATACAGTTAAACTGAAATGGTCTCTGTTAACATACGGCAGGCATCATTTATACTAATATACAATTATTTCTTGCTTATTTCTGTCATATTAGAGAGAAAAAAAGGAGCAGTTAGTTCAAAACATTAACTATATTGTTTAAAATATAACCTTTTTTGTAGGACCTGTTTTATTTAGATATACTGGAACATGAACATCAATATTTGTTATGTGGTTCCCAAAAGGGAACTGAAATTATACTATTCCAATGTGATCTTTGAGCTGGTCTATTGCCCATAGGATATGGCTGAGTTTCTTCATATTTTTTATCTATTAAACACATTCTCATAAACTTTGTTAAAATTATGCCGCTTTGAAAACAGCTCAAATCGGAGTAGCATCAAACCTCTAAAGAGAGTTTGAGGAAGAGGCCATCCTGTGTCAAGCAACAGGCAAGATTCATTGGCCATGTTGAGCCAATTAACACGCAAGGGCACATCCCGAATGAATTAAAAACACCCTAATCCGATCAGTGTGAAAAGCAAGGCCATTTCCTTCACGGGCCTGGACCAGATGGCACTCACACTCAGATGCTGCATTGAAACAGCCCAGGCCTAGTCACACAGTGTGAAATTGGGTTAGTGCCTGAGTCTAACATAGGCCCTGGGCAATGTGAGCTCCCAAACCCATTCTCCCCTGGCCTAAAGGTACAGGGACCACCTTGCCAATCTTGGGCCCCATATTTAATTATCATTCCCAATGCACCCCACTAACTCAGTCATTTCAGTCAGAGGTGGAGCTGACAGCTTCCTAGAGTCATTTGTCTCTTTAGACCAGTCAACCTTTTACATATCCCAAATAGCCCCTGACATACCAAAGAGAGTTTTCTCTTTCGTTGCATAGAAGACAAGCACAGCTCTGTTGGATAGAATATCACAGAATGTGTTTGTACACTCTAACCCAAGTTGGGTGGTGTTACCATGCTGAGGGCTAAGTTCTTGCTTTGTTGGAATAATGGCTTGTTGGGGTTTCCAAAGTTCTTTTGTATCAGCTTTCAATCTTTGCAGGGAATAAATGAACGAATGTTCAACGAATGTTGGATGGTTCTCGTCAAAGATGACTACAAAAGCAGTGGTTGTGTTATGTCATCTTGGTCCTTTTCTTAAATAAAAGACATAGCTCTCTATTGGTTGCTTGACTTAAGGTTGGTATTACCACTTGACACCACAAAGGCAGAAAATGAGGAGCAGAAGCTGTAAGGGAAACCACACCACCACACATCCCAGCATCCAATTCCACACTGCTATGGTCAGAGCATCCCCCCTCCATCTTAGCCAAGAGAGGGGAGTCACCCCTGCCAACGTGCCCTGTTCCAGGGTGTTCACAAACACCCAAAAATGTTATGCAATGAAACTAACTTAAATTGTCTATCAGGATTACACAGTATGGGTAAGAATTTGATGAGAAAATGTAAAAAGTATACCAGCCAAGCGATGTCACTAATACTAAACCTGTCGAAGGCTTCCGGAAAATGTTGAATGTAGAATTGTGTGTAAACTGTTCAGAACTGCATTGAAGTAACAAATTGGAGTGTGTCACCACAAGATACTGTGGACATACTGGATACATTTGCAACTAAGCCAATGAAAGACCTAGCTAAGCTGGGCTGCTTTGCACACGAGCAGCTTGCAGTGCCACTGTCAAGGGTTAACCCTTGACAGACAGTCTGGTGAAACAACGTAGATGACCGTGAAGAACAGGAATTTCACCGCCAAGCCTGAAAGCCACATAGTTCTTCTTTCCACATCACATACGTACTGCTCCTCCCTATTTTCCACCCCCGCATATACCTCTTTGCCTCTCCACATTGTCTTCTTCCCCCTATCAATGTCAAAGGCAAAATACGTTACAGCCTTGAGGACAGGTCAAACTAATTCAATCTAATCTGTCAGACAAAATGATGGGTGAGTGAGGATCAAAGAGAAATTGAATGGGATGAAAAAAATTAAATGGCAGAACCCAGTTTCTTTTGAATTATAGTTCTCTGATTCAAAATGGGCTGACCCATCTTCACATCACTTCATACTGTGTTCCCAGAAAAAGCAAATACTCCACAATAAACATATCAGAGAAAGCCCCCACCTGTTAAGCGAGTGACTGCCTAAACTCCACATCGCTGGCTGCCCACCCGCATGGGATTCATGCTGGAGAAGGTGTGGAGGGTGTCTTGGCAGGCTCCAGGCCTTGCCAAAGCATTTCCCGTCTCCTGAACACAGGATCAGGTGTCGCCATTTTCACAGCACCTTCTGGTTCTGTTTAACAGGAAATGAGGTCCATCAGAAGGACTCTGACCAAAACTGAGCCAGAATGGGCCCTGACAGGCAGGAATATTAGCCTGTGACGGCAGTCAGTAATTGAATGATCGGCTCCCCCCCTCACTGGTAATGAAGAGAATATGTGCTGGGAATGTGTTTGTCCTTCTCTATCCTTCGTCTGCCCTTTTGCTTTCCTTTTTCCCCCCTTCTTACCCTTAATAAATCATTTGTGGGGGCAGAAATAAGGGATACTTTTACTTCACTTCAAAGTGCTTCTCATGGTGTCATTTCTGTAACCTCAAAGTGATGATGCATTAAAAAGGCTTTGGGTGTGCTCTGCCTGAGAGTGTTTTCGCCTTTAAACGAAGCTATGCTGATAGTGTCGTGAGAGAGCAAGCTGAAGTACATGAGAGATCAATTATCACACCTCATTTTGTTCTCATATGCAAAATGATAATGGGTGGACCATGTCAGACCTGAACCATCAGGTGGTGTATCCTTTCCTCCATAAATGTGTTTCACAGATTGTCTGAAGCGGTCTGTTAAATCCCTTTAACAGTTAAAAAGCTGAAGGGAAAGAATTTGGCTTCTCCTTGATCTGTTTCAAATGTCCCTCTGCGGACAAGATTTAAGAGTGATAAACGAACAGAATAAACCTAACACTCAGCATGATATCACCACACACTTGTAAACACTGCTTTCATATTGTAATGCTTGAAAAAAAATCTTATCTTGTAGTCTTTCCTGTGTGTTTGTCAGGAAACAGTAGAACAACAGTGTACATAGATACACTATGTATGTTCCAGAGAGACAGAGTACACAAAGGAGGCTTGGGTTTAAGGCATGTTTGAGGGAAGGTGATGCTATTGAGGAAGCAGGAGGCACAGCTTGGAGGTGCAGCGTCATATTTCACATAGCTTTGGGAGAATGTCAACTCAGAGACGAATTCTTAATACAATAATTGCTTTGAGACTTGTTCTTATTAATATTTCACTGACTTTGGTTTTGTATTTTTTAAACCTTAACCAAAATCAGTTGTAGTGCGTTGGTGCTTGAATGCCTGTCAGACTGGGCCCTGACCCTGGGCTGGCTGCTATAATGATGGGAAGATGAAAGAGCCAGGTCCATTCCCAGGCTGCCCTGTTAGGGGGTGCAAGCCTGTGAAATGGAGAGATAATGGAGACCAGGTGTGCTGTGGATGCCTGAGACACTGCTCAGTCAGTCTGAGAGCTCCTCTCAGTGAGAGGGAGGGCACACTACCACTGTTGAAAACGCACTGGGCCACAGTCCAATTCTTCACTCCATATCATGCACACATGTATATACTGTATAGTAATTACTTTAGTATATATGCTTAAGTCAGGGGAGTTGGTGCACCTGTATTTAAACTGGTGTTGTGCTGCATT